TTGGAACTCTGCTTGATTGCCTTCAGGGAGCCACAAGATTTTTAAAAAAAACTGCAATGGCCTTGATGGTTTTATCACCTCCCCCCCTGATACCACTGGCGTGGTGAGAACAGTCCTGATCACTCGAGTCCATTCCCATGAAGCTGAAATATATTATTAATTTATCTTCAGAATTTATGAATTTTGAGCTAATTTTAAAAAGTGTGAATCTCAGGTTAGGTGTTTGCTCTACAGGTTAACTCTCCCTTTTTACTGATAATATCCTTTATCACTTGTTGTTATGATGCGCGTATAGGGAGACTGGCTTATGTATCGAGTTAGCTAATAATGTCTTTTAAGCACATGAGGGGCACTATATAAATGCAAGTTGTTGTTGTTCAAAGCAGTATCCTCTGAACAGTACTACTTTTTGAGATTTTCATTTGCCACAACAACCTTTCCCAAATTATGATCAGAATGGCCTTCTGCTAAGCTTTCCAAACTAGTACTACATTAGAAGCTGTCTCCATGCTTCCCATTCAGGCCACGAATAACTTGATGGAGACTGTAGAAGCCTATTTACCATAATGATCTTAAAAGAAGCAGATAAAGAAGACTTTCAGCTCATCAGTTTGGACTGGATTGGAACTCAGATCCCCAAAGTGTAAAGATAATGTTCTAACTCAATAGGTTGGCCAGTCCCTCTCTACCTGCAGTTATGATAAACAGTATAAAACTATAGAGAGGATTATGGCTAAGAGTGATTAAAAGTCCGCAATCCAATTGACACATTCATATATCAAAGTCAGAGTGAACTGAGAGCTCTTTGTGACCATCATCTGAACTCAAAGATTAGACCAGAGCTGTTTAATCACTTGTTTAATTTATACTTTGCAAATAATAATAAATCATAATAATCCTTGCATTTGATATAGCGCTTTTCATGTCTTCTAGACGTCTCAAAGCGCTTCACAGAATATATTGTAAAGTGAATTGACTATATTTGTGGGTGAAACACAGCAGCCAATTGCGCACGGCAGTGTCCCACAAACAGTCGTGGATTAGTTGTTTTTGACGAGTTTCTATGCTAACATTAAGAGGATTAAGATCAAGAACAAAACTGCAATCAATCAGTAGGATTGCTCCAAATTGTTATTTTACGCAACCAAAGGTTGTGTAACTTACAGCGAGTGCAGTGTCATGGGAGTGAAACAAAGCACTGTGTTGCTGTGGTACAAAAATCTTGAAGCATTCTGCATAAACATTAACTATCTAAGGAAAGTAGGGGAAACGCTGATTCCTTCTTTTCTGATATGCTAAAAGACGCTGTTGTCCTTACAGCAGCCTAAACTCATTTATCACAGAGAAACATGGTGAATAATTTTCATAATGATTGCTTGTAGAATTCTTAGGCCGAATCATTCATTTTTAATGCACAAACTTACATAGTCACACTTAACTGCCAGCACAAAATAGCTTTTTTATGGGACCATATTAACTACTCTTCACTAAACAAGCTGCAAAACAATTTAACCTTGAGTTTATTTAGTTCTGTTGAGGAGGACAATGTCAGCCTTTGCTGAAAAGAAAATACGTGTACTATTTTCTAATAAAGCTGCTATCGTTAGATGAATGTGCTATTGAGACATATGCCAGGCAAATCGTTCTCTGTGAGCAGTTTCTTCCTGTCCCATTCTCTCTTGCCAACATCATCTTCCCCTTCCTAAGCCTATTCTCATTCTGGTATTAAAGATACTAAAAAATATTTTTGCACAGGCTTGTTCCTTCGGCTCACTCCCTTCCTTGCCTCCTTCAAGGCCCGTCCCAAGATCCTGCGCTTTGATCGTGCCTTCGGTCACCCTCCTACCCCTCCTGATCCCAACCCCCAGCTAGGGTCCAAATCCCTGACTGTCCGAACAAAAAGGCGCTATACAACTATAATTTGTTGTTGTTGTGACAACTTATACAATGTTGAAAATATCAAAGCATTTAATGCACAATGCTCTCATGGAAAAAAGAAGTGTTCCTGCTTTGAGTTCAAACCTTCTTTTGCATTACACAAAAAAGGAGATAGGTCAATTATGATAATTGTCTCAATTGACAAGGTGTTCATTTCCTTGTCAGAAAACCTAGGTTAGATTATTAGCTACTTCACCCACATCCCCCAGAAAGGACACTGATACAAAGCTGATAAATCCTCTCACATCAGACGTGAAAACAGATTTTTGATTAGGCAAAATTGTTACACTTCAGGCATTTGTTATTTCTCAATGAATTATATCAAATGTTGACTTCACATTGAGTTCACATAGTTCATTGAGAAATGGTCATGTCTCAATGAACTGTGAACTCAATGTGAAAAATCTACGTATGAAAGAGGACAAGCTAAAATGTCCGTGCGCATCCCCAGTACAGTAACATTAGTAGTCGGGAGCTTGGAGGACACCAAATCCCAGCCTCAGCCGAAAGCCAGTCCAGAGGTCAGGTCAAAAAGATAAATGTAATTGTTCTTCTGTGACTTCTGAAGCAAGACTGACAGAGGTTGTAGACCTTTTCTCGCCTGAATTTTCTGCACCACGAGGTCACAAATGAAGCAAAGTTAAACATAACTTGAGGAGCAACTTTTTCCACGATCATGACGCACAATCTTATGGAATTGACTGTGAATGCTGATTCAGCTGAAACAGTTGCAGAATAACTGGAGGACACAAAACGACCAAATCAGCTAAGCTGGACAGACTCAATAGCCCTGCATCTGTAGGTAATATTAAACACTTGATACTTATAATGTTGATAAATGAAATGGGCAATAATGTTAGAATTTGATCAATTTTAATCACAACAGCTTTTACTCCAGTGGAGTTCTTCATCTTTCCCATCAAAGATCTGTGCTTATCACAGAAATGCCACTACGAATTCACCAAACTCATCATTTACAACAACAACAACTTGGATTTATATAGTGCCCTCCACGCCGGACGGCGTCTCAGAGCACTTTACAATAACGGATCCCGGGACCGAACCAGGGGGAGGGGGAGGAAGGTGACCAAAGGCGCGATCGAAAAGAAAGGTTTTCAGTAGAGACCTGAAAATGGAAAGGGAGGGAGCGAGGGGAAGGGAGTGAGGAAGGGAGTTCCAGAGCCTCAGGGCATAGCGGATCCATTTAGCGGATAGTTCCAAGCTGTTGTCAGTACATGGTTCCATTGATGAACAAATCATATAACTGAATGAACTCTTCGCTGAGCAAAGACTTTTTTTTTTGTCATATTTCTTCTTGTCCAATTTCGTTTGCTTTATTTTTTATTCACTCATTCTGTCTTTGATTCTCCTTTCTACACTATTTGTTGATGACTAAAAGCCCAGGGCAAGGGTGAAAAACATGACTAAATTTATTTCAATCAACCAAGTCTGAAAGATGCCTGACAAGCTGGCGTAGTGCCTGAACAGCCTATACCAGCACTATAAATGTCATTGCAATTTGCAATGTCCTCATAGATTAAGCCAATAACTTCCTAGTACTCAGGGTACAAGGTTACTTACCCTTGTATGAATTTCTGTAAGGCTGTTTTCAAATTAATTTCTCTCTCCTTTTAAATTAACTAAATAATCATCAATAAATGATGCCTTCAAAAAAAACCATTAACTGTTCACCTACGATAGGTACTCCAGGCAAACGTGCTTTCGTCAACGTTCACTGAATATTTCATGTTTATTCCCCGTAACAAATTTTCAGCGCGTAAAAAACAGTGTAAACTTTTCAGCCGCGATAAAAAGGGTACGAATGCTGATGCAGTGCCAAGTCTACGCCGGAACAAAATCCTTAAAACACATCCTTCCTGTCAAAAGGCAACTTTTTTTAAAAAAAAAACACTTTTAAAAAATGAGCGTTAAGTTTCCACACTTGTCACTTCACGGCCATTTGTATTACTTGCGGCTATATTTGCACCCGCCCTCTGGAACTCCACCCTGGAGTCCCTCCGCCTCGCCCCCGCCCCCGCCCTCGCCACCTTCAAAACCCCCCCCTCAAGACCCTCCTTTTCGACCGTGCTTTCGATCTCCCTGCTTCACCCCCCCCCCCCCACCCAACCCCCGCTCCACCCCCCCTTGCCCTCCGGCCTCCCCCACCCCGAACCCCCAGCTCGGGTCCGTAACCCCGTCTGCCCGGCCGGCGCCTTGGGACGTCCTCCCGACCCGAAAGGCGCTGCGCAGACGTAATTTTGTCGCTGTTGCTGTGGTGGTGGTGGTGGTTGTTGTCGGCGTTGTGGGAGAACCTGGCTGCCGCACTCGTACGCAACAGCGCAGACCAAAGATACCCCGACGCTAACCGCGGGCGGTACCGCGCGCGGGACGCGAAGCGCTGCCAGAAGACGCGATAAGGCGCCGTGTGTTGAAACGCAAGGGTTATTATTATTATTATTACTGCTACGACTGTCGTTGCATATAACACAGAGAGAGACGCACTGAGAACATGTTTCAGCCACAAGGTCAGGGGGGGGGATGGGAGTGAGAGACTGATCACCCCCTTCTCCCACCACCATCACCACCACCACCAGGTCAACCGAGCCATCCATCAAAGCGAGCCAACCAATCAGGTGGTGCTGGGCGGAGGCTGTCTGCGGGGGGGGGGGTGGGGTTAAGGGGGCGTTGGTCGCCGCCCACAAACACGACGCAGCAGACACAGGCGCCCAGTGCGCACGCGCAGGGGGCGGGCGTGGGGAGGGGGGGGGAAGGGACCCAGGCGCTCGTGGTTTTTGAACTGCGCCGCCCGCCAACGGCCAGCCGCTGCGCGTGGAGCTGGAGGGGCCGGGGCCTCGCGCGCGGACTACAAGTCCCAGAGGGCTTTGCGGGAACGCCTGCCAGTGCTCAACCGCAGCGCGTGGTGCTGGGGGGGGGTGAGGGAGCGAGCGCCTCCCTCGCGCCGAACTACAGGTCCCAGAGGGCGCTGCGGGGCCAACCCGTTCGCCCGCTCGTTCGTTCGTTCGCCCGTCAACTCCCCCCCCCCCTCCACCCGCACCTCTCACCTTCTTCACAGGTTTGTGCGAGGCGACCGCGGCGCTGTCGCTGCTGAAGACGATGAGGGGCGGCTCCTTGTGCGCCATCACCGAGTCGCCCCTCATGGTGGTGTTGTTGTTGTCGCTGCCGCCGCCGCCACCGCCGCCACCACCGCTGCTGTTGCTGAGGGAGAACTTCTCCATCTCCACCACCACCACCTTGGAGCTTCTCTCGCTGCTCTGCGCCCGCTCGGCGTTGGCCGTGTCCTTGGCTTCCTTGATCTCCGCGGAGTCGGCGGCGGCTCCTTTCTTGAGGAAATCTGCCATGTTATAACGCTTCTCAAAAGGAGGGGATGTGGGGTGGTGGGGGGGGAGGGCTCGGAATGAGGAAGGAAGGAAGGAAGGGATGTGCGCGCGGAGAGGAACTCTCTTCTTTTTGTGTGTGTGTGTGTGTGTTTTGCCCTTTCTCCCTCCGACCTTTCTTCTACTCGCGTTCGACGTTACGAGCGAACGGTGCGGGCGGCGGAGCGCGGAGTCAGGAGTAGAGAGCGAGAGAGAGAGAGAGAGGAGTCTGCGGCTCTGTTTACGTTGGACGCTCAAAGCGCCGCCTTCTCTCCTCCCTCCCGATTCCTCCTCACCGCTGGGCGTACGGCGTAATACGCGTGCACGTTTTCTCCGGCGCCGCTGCCAGCGCTCGACGTCAGCCGCCCGCTGCCAGCACTCTGACGTCAGACGTCGCTGCCAGCACTCTGACGTCAGACGCCCGCTGCCAGCCCACTGGACCAGTTGGAAGCATTGACATCTGAAATAATAATAATAATAATCCTCGCATTTTGATATAGCGCTTTTCACGTCGGGAGGACGTCCCAAAGCGCTTCACAGAACACACTGTAAAGTGAATTGACTGTATATTTGTGGGCGAACGCGGCAGCCAATTGCGCACAGCAATGTCCACAAACAGTCGTAGATTGAAAATGACCAATTTATTATTGTTTTTGGTTTTGGAGGATTATTATTAGGCTCTGTGTGGAGTAAGGAAACTTGCCCGAGGTTTCGCCCTCTGCCTGGAATTGAACTCAGGTCTCTCACTTGCAAAGCGAGTGCTCTAACCAATGAGCTACAGGACTCCATGGGACGGGTGGTGGTTCTGGAAGGGTGAGATCAGATGGGTCAAAGGACCTTCTTTAACGAAATCAATCGTAGGATCGTGTGACGTATATTAGGGTCACTCAGTTTTTCTACTCAAGGCAAAAGTCATGCCTGAAAATCAAGCTGTTTTTCTTTTCAGATGCAGATTGACCTGTTGTGGATTTCCAGCATATCTAGCTTTATTAAATATATTTTCATAACAAAATGTACTGCATTAAATAATTATCTAAGATACCACATCTGATATTAAAACTGTATTAGGGCAAACCGTGCAGAATGAGGCCATTCAGCCCCCTCAGGTCTGGGCCGGCTCCCAGAGCCACAAGAAAACATTGGCCCCCACCCTCGCTGGCAACCCTCCCTCTTTCGCATTGAATAAAATGGGCCCTGCGCCTCCTGGCCGTTTGCGGGGACGTACTGCGGGCAAACTGGCTTGTCAAGTCTCACCCACCAAGTACACAGTCACTCCACTTTCCCCTGAAGCGGTCTGCTGTGAAAGGTGTTCTTTTCACCATTCTACTTCCAAGTGTCATCGCCACTACCATGTGCGAGAGGTCACCTCGCCATCTATTCGTTTGGTTAGCCGGGCGTTCTGGAAGCCCATCACCATTGCTTAAGAGCATCCAAGCCAGACAAGAGTTTCACATCTGTTTACCACCTACATACTGTACATGGAGATTTCCCCAACTCCCGAATGGAATGCACATTCCCTGGAGGGATGCACCCGGAGTCCAGAAAGTATTGGGTGCAGGTTGGCAAGAGCCAAGGCTTGGGGGGGGGGGGGGGGAGCCCAGAGTGCGTGTTGGAGTAGCTGCAGGAGTCTGTCCAGGTAAAACGGCATAGCTTGCCATTGAAAGCTTTCTTGCTGCTTGTTCAGCTAAGACCATGTAATCGGTTCGTAGAGGGATAACTTGCTCCTCTTCTCTCCCCTCTTACTGCTTTTGAAGCAGTCACCAACTGGTTTAATTGATGCTGATTCTAACTATATTGCCACCAGGTGTACTTGTTGTTTTACAAAAACCTCAAGTTACTCGGGTATCAAATTGATCAATTTTTTGTGAAACATTTCAGCAGTCCTCCCCACATCAAAGATGCAATGTCAAATGCAGGGATTAGTTGTTATCTAAAACTGACGAGATATTGCTAGTTTACCCGTACGTTACTGGGCATCAAAGGTAGAAATTTTAAAGTGCGCGTTGGAAGCAGAAAAGCAGCGATCTAAAGCGTCTGCTCGGAAAAGTTTTGCGGCACTTTTGTGGCACAGCCTCACGCATTCTCATGTGCCTCAAAAGCCATTGCATTTTTAAAAACTTTCACAATATTGACCTCCAGTGGTCAAACATGAATAGGCAGCCAACCTCACCTCCGCGGCGCGAGCCCGACATTAATTCAGAACCCGGAGGGAAATGTTCCACACAGGTTCCAGATCACCCAGAACACTGAGGCTGTGCATTGTGTGTCTCCCTGAGACCTCCCTGCGAAAATGTGCTACGACGCAAGTGCCTGTTGTAAAAATTAGTTGCAGCTGTGGAACGAAAGGCACTAAATCCATTTCATACCCACGTATTGAGTGAGATGGTAAATTCCGCATTTTGTGCGATCACATTTAAGTTTCAACTTCTAGTTTGAGTGGCGATATTCACCTTTTCGAATGGTCCAGTTTGTCACTCTTCATTTGTCAGGAACGAGCTTCACTCGGACATTCTCAGCCTTGTGACACCATTCTGTAGACTCCAGCTTCTTCATGCTGTTTAGTTTCTGCTTCAGGGCTAGTTTACACCAGTTATGTACTGACTACCACACTGGAACATTTAAACTGCAACAACGAGCAATGATTGAACCGGGTATCATCTCATTATTGCACTGAGCACGCACTGTTCCTATGATGCATTCTTACTCAGAAACAATTCTAACCTTATTTAGTTGACCCGCCACTTTCTTCACCCCTCCCCTCTGAGAGATTGGATTCATTCACTCACATTGAGACCACTTATTTGCCCTCTGAATAAAATAGACAGATTTGAAAACAAAAAAAAACCACACGACACATTCTAAAGATAACTGAAATTTTATTCTCATTTGTTTGAAGCTTTGCTAACAAATTCTGGTTTCAAACCTACCAGGTACATTTGGAAACACGACTGGTGCTTTCATTACTTGGTATTGCCCCACTTGGCAATCTTGTTATTGATTGGACCTTTCATGAAACGATCCGATTTCATGTAGGCAGAAATCTTCTCCAAAGCCTGCAACAGAGATTAGAATTTGAGAGCTTTAATGGGATCATTAATTCAACGACAATGGAAGAAACTGAATGGCTGAAAAGCTAAACAAAGAGCGTCGAGTTAACATGCTCCCAGGTCTCTGCCAATCCTACCACCACCAAAGCAAAAGCTGGCGTACATGGAGCTGAGGCCTATGGTGACTGCAGTAAATTTTCTTCTTCTTCCGAGAGAAAGTAATTAAGTGTTTGCTCAAAGGTTGTTGCTACGACTGGGGACCCAGTATGAAAAATATTGGCAAAGGAGCACACATTTTTAAAATTCACCTTGCGTAACTATGTCATCAGTCGGATCGGGAGGATTTTTATTCCTACAATGTACCAGTTTGAATTCATCTCGTCTTGCAGTCACCTCTGCCACGTAACCAGCTCACCGCGGATCCACCCCAACACAAGTGGGTATTGAGCTACCAAAATCCAAGGTAACTGAAATTGTGAATTACTCCATGCTGCGGCCAAATTAGCTGCTCTTTCGGCTTCAAAACTGTCCCAGAGATTGTGGGAGAGCAGTTAAGTCTACTTACCTCAAAGCGCTTGAGAAAAGCTTGCAAGTTTTTGAATTCATCCAACGACTTGGCTTCAAAGATAAGATGTTCATCCAACACTTCATACAGCAAAAAGTCCACAAATGTGATCTAAAATTTTTTTTTGGGGGGGGGGGGGGGGAGAAGAAAAGTGCATCAACAACGACGTGGGCTTATATAGCGCCCTCCGCACAGAGCAGCGCCTCAGAGCGCTTAAGAATAAAGAAGCATAAAGAAATTAATCCAGAACTCTGCCGGGTGTAGCACTTCAGGACAATAAGATGCCCGTGTGAACAATAATTTTAGGAGCCAAGAGAAGCTATTTGAGCCAGCAAACCCGTCTGGTTTTGATTCAAGCTGCACCGCATGTCATCACAACATTCCCAAAGTCGGGTGGTTTATATTACTTCTCGCGCAGAAACTACGATGCTCAAGAAATGCCGTATTACACATCCTTCGCACACTTGATCCAAGCTTCACTGGAAGTCCTGCAAGTGTTCGGATTTTCTCAAGCTGCTCACAAGGATGTGTTGTAAAGGTAATAATGGGTCAATGAGGCAAGGAGCAGCCTACCTCTCGCTGCAAAGTTATGCAATCACTCAAGGCAATACTATCAGATTAGTAATAATAATAATCCTGGCATTTGATATAGCGCCCGATCACGCCTTCAAGAGGTCTCAAAGCGCTTCACAGTACACTGTAAAGTGTATATTTTGCGGGCGAAAGGCAGCAGTCAGTTGCACATGGCAGTGGCCCACAAACAATACTGTGTATCAAGCAATTTTGTTTCCAGATGATTGCATTCGTTCCTAGTCGAGCCACATAGGAAGCGCAAAAAGATAAGGTTTCTAATCTGCAGTAATAAGAACCCTTGCATTTGATATAGCGCCTTATCATGTCGTTGAGACGTCTCAAAGCGCTTCACAGAATCTATTGTAAAGTGGAATGATCGTAATTTGCAGGCGAAACCTCTTGGCCTAAGAACTCACCTTCTCACCAGCAAACCAGGGCTTTTCCGAAAGAAATGTTGAAAACTGCTTCAGCAAATCTGGCAGCTTCTCCACATAACCGGGCTTCAGTTTAACCTACCACGAGGCAGAGAATAAACAAAAAGGCTCAGGAATGCTTTCCTAGTTTTAAATTATACCAGAAATAAATAGTGTACAACTCACACATTCAACACTTATTCCTTTAAGTCCTAGTTTGTTCAGAGTACAGGGGTTAGACGCCAGAGGTTAAGTCTGTCCTCCCTTCACTCAGCATCACAGGAAAAAGGCAATTATAGCAAAAATAAATACAAATCCTGAGGTCAAAAATACCATTTAAATAGCTTTAAATCTACAAGACGTAGGGTAAGTGTGACTTATGTTCAGGTCACAACTTTTATCAATCTACTAGCAGAACCCCACCGCAGCAGGGCCTTAGTCGCCAGGTTTTGTGACAAAGCAACATACATTAATTCACTTATTTCCTAACACTGGAGCATTCAGACTTTAACCCTTTTCCAAAAGGAAATGAACACGCATACAAAAAAAAATAGCTTTGAGCAGGCAGCTGCTACTGCGAAACTCACAAAGTCGGGGCTGTAACAGACGCGGAAAAATTCCATGCGAAAGTCCATACATTGGTTCTCGATAACATCAACACGGATTTTTTCATCCTCTACCTCCCCACCTGCAGAGAAGAGTTTAAGAAGACTACTGTGAAGTGTTCAAAACCAACTATAATAAACCAAATTCTGTGACTTCCATGTCACACTTTGTGCTTCACTGGGCAAGTCACTGAAATTTTGGGATGAACCATACAGTGGGAGGTCATGTGGGGAATATTCACCATTTTATCACAACTCTCCTGAGGTACTTAAGGGAATTATTATTCCCTGACCGCTTTTCCGGAGGTAATAATTCCTTCAAAAAAATAATAGTAAATTGGTCATTCATTTCCTGACTGTGTGTGGGACACTGCTGTGCGCAATTGGCTGCTGTGTTTCGCCCACAAAATGCAGTCAATTCACTTTACAGTATATTCTGTGAACCACTTTTAAGACGTCTCAAAGACATGGTAAGGCGCTATGTCAAATGCAAGGATTATTTTTTTTATTGGAAGTACTGCAAAGAAGCACTTCTCAAAACAGCATCTTTAACCGCTCTTATCAATCTGTATTTGTAACCAATGGAACGTAGAAATGAAATAAAAACTCACAAAGGCCGTGCTTCCTGGCTATGTAGCGCATGATTGCGTTGCTCTGGACAATTTTCACATCGCCGTCAATCAAATAAGGAAGCTGGAAAGAACCATTACAAATAATTACCAAAAAAAAACCCAGCCTCAGCTAAACAAAGGCTGCTCATTAACGTTCAGCTACCTTTGCTGGAAGCGAAGGGACACGTTTGATTTAATTTCCAGCACATTCAAGTACTTAACCATCGTTGCGTAAAGCAAGTGCAAACTTAAAACTTCTGCTGCAACAGCCTAGTGTCAGATAAAGGACCACATCGCTGAAGAACATTGAGCCAAATCTCTATGATAAAACCTGCCTCCGAACAAACAGTGTGGGGGGGAGTGGGGGGAAGAGAACGGGGGTTAAAGACCTCACCTTCGAAAGGTTTATTAAATACCTACATTTGGGAAATCCAGTCCAAGGGTGAACTTCTCTTTAAGCCAGGAGCCTCTGTCATATTCTGGGGCTGCAACAGAATAAAAAAGTTTTTCCCCCCCTCTCAAATATTGTACCAGTGCAAAGCTCCATTATTAAATCGTTCAAAACCTTAATACATAATATATTAATGTTCACGTCCAAATAAGTCACGTTACTTACAGTGGCCACATTAACTTAATAAATGTTAAGACGCCATATCACTCTTTGCTTTCCCTTAAACCGGGGGTCTGGTCGATTGCCACCGGGTACGATTTTTCAACCACAAAACAACCACTTTACAGTATATCCTGTGAAGCGCTTTGAGACGTCTAAAGACGTGATAAGGCACTGTGTCAAATGCAAGGATTATTATTACTATATGATCAAAAAGGCCTAAAGGAAGGAGTGGTAGAACTGGGTAGTTATTTAGTCCAATTGAAAACAAAGCCAGTTGTAGAAAGTGTTTCATGCATATCGAAATAAAAATATAAACTCTGGAAATCTGTATGTAAGTGCTAGTTCCAATTCTATTTGCACCCAGAGGGCAATGTGTGGAATGGCGAAAGCCTCATTTTCTCTACCTAGCTACCAACTACCAGGAGACTTTGGACTGTAGTTAAATATTTATTATTAGGCAAGAGGCATTTGGCAGCAGCTTGAAAAAACATCAGACACTTTTTAATACGCTGAACATTTATATGCTTCCAGTCAGTTGGGTGAAGCTCTTCTGAGATATCCTCCCAATGTGAAAAGCACTAAATAATGTAAATTACAAATATGCATAGCGTCACTGCTTCATGCTGCGCGCCTTTCATCACAGAGCACGAAGGGAAAGCAAGAGAAGTGATTCTCTACGTGTGCTGCTGTATTTGTACGAAAAGGATGTGAATCTCCAAAGTACTACCGACAACCCATTTGTCGTATCACCGCGACTCAATTCTGTTGCCGCTCAGCAGACATTTTTCCCTTCACAGTTTGAATTCAGAAGAAATTTCACCTTCGCCAACGGAATACAGCTTCTCTTCGTACGGAGTTTCTGTGTATTCTAACAGCAGGCGGATCGGCTGAGCCAGCTGCAAAACAGAAAGCCTCAGTCAGATATTTTTTGGTCAACAACAACTTGGATTTATACTCACTCAGAATAGCGTCCCAGAGCGCTTGATCAGCTGGCCGTCCGGCACAAGCGGAAACCCCTCGCCGTCCCACTGATCCTCGGTTCAGTTAGGAATCGAGATGATTAAAAAAAAATATTCAAACTGCAACGTCGCCAAATTTAGAACTATTTTTAATCCATTTCCTATAAACTGCTGTTCTGGTTTTTTTTAAAAAAAAGGTTGCAAATAACATTTCCTAAATTCACTTGCGTTTCTGGATGTTCTGAATTGCACTTCTGTAAATTCAAAGTCGTTGGGGAGAGAGAAAGAGGGAGAGAAAGAGAGACGTTAAAGAATCCCAGGTGCAGGTTATCAGAATAGGCAGAAGCCAATGAGGTCAAGTAATTTACTGGTTTAATAGCTGTGCAGTAAATTAGCACTTTGAATAATCAGGTCACCCACTCAGTGTGCAACCACAAAGCATCTTCCCACCGGCAACAAACAAGTCTTAAACAGTTATAAGTTCTGTAAATAAGTCCAGATAAAAGCAGAAATCGCAGATTCTGTGTTTGAAACCTTTCCACCGGCATCATCTGAACTGATCTGATTTTTCCCTTTAGAAAAGCGTCTAATTTTTAATCGTAGTAAACCACGTCACGAAAGCAGAAGTGATTCACAACGCTCACTTGATGATAATAATCCTAAAGCAGAGAGCAACATCTCCCTGGGATGAAACTTGGCTCCAAACACGAGACACCTGGCAGAGATGCAACAAAAGCAAGGCTGTGCATTTAGAAATGTCATACTCTGGCAGGGAATGTGGGCTGATGAACTTTATGTATTGGGAGACAAAGGAGAGTTGTTTTTTAATTCTACTCTAATTCCGCCATTCTGGGATGGCAACAGCGCAAAAAACAACAGGTAAATTCATCCTAAGGTGGACATTGCCGCAAAAAACTGATCAGATCTTGGGAGTCCCTGTAAAAAAGGGTGACTATACTTCCCCGAATCAGGGATTGCCAAATTTGCCCCCTCTTGAGTTCAGCAACAAACTACAAACCAGAACAATAAAACTCTAAAAACACTCATCAGAGAAACACAACCATTAATCCAACACCCTTTTCCAGCAACAGCCGGCATCAGGAATAATAATACCATTTGATACAACATCCTATCATGTCTTCTACGTATCTCAAAAGAGCTTCACAGAATGTACTGACTGCATTTTGCGAGTGAAATGCAGCGGTGAATTGCACACAGCAGCGACCCACAAACAGTCATGGATCGAGGGACCGAATCACTTTTATTTTACTTCACGGTTTTTTTTGAAGGAAGGGACTCATTTTCTTTGAAGGGATTATCGCTCCCGGACATGCGATCCACCAATCGACTAAACTGCCAAGGAAACACAGGCGTGTGGCGTAAGGAAAGTTTTCGCCCCGGCCCGGGAATCGCACCCAGGCGAGTGCTCTAACCACAGCACGTACGGACTTCCACGTGGTCCTGCGGTATACCGCCAGGATTTGTGGCGAGTTAAATGTTTTAATATATACGTGTGTGTATATGCGCACACGCACACGCACGCGCGCACACGATGTGTCCCCGGATTTGGTTTACAAAGTACGGTCACCCTAAAGCCTCGCGATCCGTTCTACCGGCGGCTGTTCTCTCAAACTCTGCTCCTGGGAATTCTGAACTACAGACTCTGCGGAAAGATCCGCACAGGTTTAGGTACAAACTCCACAGCAATAATTAGAATAATCTCCACTGCCCCCCACCCCCACCCTCCTTCATGTCACAGGAAGCAATACACTCTCTTAAGATTAGCCAACGTGCAAAATAAACTCTGGTGCAGAGATCTGCAATTCCCAGTCACAGACAAAGGGGGAATGGAACAAAAGAACTCTTGTTCCAAAGCAAAACTATGTACACACACAGACACACAAATATATATATATATAGATAGATACACACAGTATATTTGTAGCCACAAAACACTGTTCCTCCAGATACAGGAAAGGAGCCTTTTACTGAACCGGATTTGATTTAAAAATATATGATTGAGCCAAAAGTGCATTTTATATGGGGTTGGAATGCAGTGGCTTTCGAGTTTCTGTGCAGAGATCTGGAGAACAGAGAGAGAGAGACAGACAGAGAGAGACAGATACAGACAGACAGACAGACAGAGAGAGAGAGAGACAGACAGAGAGAGACAGAGACAGACAGACAGAGAGAGACAGAGAGACAGATACAGACAGACAGAGACAGTTTCAGACAGAGAGAGACAGAGACCGACAGAGAGACATACAGACAGACAGAGAGATACAGACCCAGAGACAGACCCAGAGACATACAGACAGACAGACAGACAGACAGAGAGACAGAGAGATACAGACCCAGAGACAGACAGACAGACAGAAAGAAAAACAAGACAGAAAGGAAGGAAAGATAGAAAGACAAAGGAAAGGAAGACAGAAAGAAAATAAATTAGAGAGACAGAGAGAGAGAGAGAGACAGAGAACGAAAAGCCATTTTTTATTTTACTTTTCTTTCCCACACACTCCACACACGAACATGAAGCGCAAATGCAAAACGCACACTCACCCCTCGAATATCCCAGTAACCCAACTTCATGACCATGGCCGGGAAACACCGAGCAGAGTGGGGGGGACAGACAGACAGAGGGACAGACAGAGGGACGTCTGGAGCTCAGACACAGACAGAGACACAGACACAGACAGCACTGCCTTTATTGCGCAGCTCAGTGTCTGAAGGTCGCGCAGCGCCTCTCTTGGCGTTTCCTGCGCTCAGCAGTTTCGTTTGGCGTTGGACATCTCTGGACAGTACTTCTGATTCCCTTTCTTCCCCCTTCACACACACACACACACACACACACACGCGAGGAGGTCAACAAATGCATAAATCGATATGTTACATCGCCCACAAACACACCGCCCATTCGCTTTACGGTCTGTTCCGCGAAGCGCTTTGAGACGTCTCGAAGACGCGATGGGTGGGGGGGGCGTTGCGTTCCAACGCGAAGGTTGTTCGTAACACCACCGCGATAAGGCGCTACGTCAAACCTCGGGGGATCATTATTTATTACCACGTGTTGTTGCAAAACCATATTGATGACATGAAGGTAATAAACTAATATCACTCGTGTTTGACGCGGCCGTTGAGACGTCTGTAAAGCTCTTCGCGGAATGTACTCTGAAGTGGATCGACTATTAATTCGTTGTGGATTAATTAATATATCGTTGACTGTGAATTGAACGCACGGCGCCATTATTTTTTTATTTCACGGAAATGATTCCGAATTGTTTTTGAAATGTTATTCTTGTGTGTGTGTGTGTGTGTAAAACATAAAAGAGTAGTAACTGTGGGAGGCACACGCACCGCTTATCTAATTCCGGAGAGTATTAAGCGTTGGTGAATAATAATACTAATAATCCTTGCATACGATACAGCGCCTTATCGCGTGGACGAGACGTCTCAAAGCGCTTCACGGGATTTTTTAGCGTAAGGTGCAGCGACTGCGTATTTTGTGGGCGACACGCAGCAGCCCAACCACATCCCGCAAACAGCCGCGGAGCGAGCGAGCGAGCGATCTTATTTCACGCGACCTTTCTCGGCGGAAACAGCATGGCAGGCCAAGAACTTTTGAACAATTCTTTATTGCAATACTTCAGCTTCATTACATTGTCTCAGCAATCTCACACGAACGGAATTAACAAGCAGGTACGTTACGGTGCAAAACTAGCAGTTCGAACAATCGGTGGTTTCCAGTAGATCTACGGAAGTCCTCAGTTACCACATTCCTACCACAAGAGCCAGGCCAACGTGAGTCCGTGGTTATGTTTCAAAAGTCATGACATAAATTAAATGATTGAGCTAACGGACAACATGCCATTAACACAGATCAACGCCTTCGCTCAATGGACCACCACAAAATATATATACAATTTTATGAAAGGTCAATAAAGTTTGCCCACTGTTTTAGTAGTTCAAACTTGGTGCTCTCACGTGCTTTTTTTTTAAAACAGAGAACAGGTAGTGGACACTTGTGTTAAAGACACGTGTCAGATTTAGGCGCTGAACATTAAAGGGAGTGGCGGGGGGGGGGGGATAAACACCAGTCAACAACAATTGTTGGGAGAACTTTGTTAAGGTAAAAAAAAAGTGAAGTAAGGAGAAACTGGTGGTATATATATTATATGTATATGTATATATATAATGTAAGGCAGACATGTTATCTTCAACATTTTCTGCAAACATCACCCTTACAGAAGCGTTCATTGTATAAGCAATTAGTCATAAGAAATGATGGTAAATCTAGAATTTAAAAAAAAACACACCCGTGATTCACTTGGCATTTGTTCTGAATAATTTGCACGTCAAACAGCATTTTTACCCGTCCGAATTAAGGATCAAACATGTAGCGACAAGTTACAGCAACCACACTGTGGGCAGCAACCAAGAAAGGGGCAGAAAAAACACTCGACAGCGAAAGCACAATTGGAGTAGGAACTCTCAATATTCCTAGAGCAGCATTCCTCAAGTACTGTACAGTATTGTAACTCTTCCGGGTTACGTGTAGTTAAGTTTCATGTCGCCGTAAAACACCCAGGAAAGGGAAATGGGAATAAAGATGGGGAGTGTCAACTTCCCCCACAATAAAATGCTTTCCCCCCCAATTAGCCCAACCAGCTCATGATAGGAAGTATTTAACCACCATATATATGATTGTACCCCAAGCGAGACTTTCAAGCAGGTTTATACCGACTGCTATTATCAGGTGTGTGGAACGGTATCAAATGGAGATCCACATGTCAGTAAACAAAGTACAGTACCTAACCACCAACCTCGAGGCCTTGAGTGTTCGAGAACACAGCATTTAACACATGACAATATTTTACTGTAATATTCCCAAAGTACAGGAGGTAGTTAAGCTCAGTCCTGGTAACACTGAATAGAGTACTGTATAAAATGTTCAATGGCTGTAGCCCAGGACGACTCCCATTGGTGTGGCCGAGGAGATCAGCTACAGTGAGAGACTGGCTCATTAAAAAGACAGATGGGGGACTATTCTTCTGATGATTGTGTTGACAACCATTTAGTGAAGAATGGCAGCAGTGTTGGGAAAATCACTGAGCCAACATTACTAACTGTGCGATAAAACTCTGGCCCAATACTTACCACAGACAGTGGCACTGAAAAAGACTTTAGCTTCAGTTGCGATGAGTTTTATTCTATTTTATTTAGCAACTTTATTCCGCCTGTGACTCGTCGCAGTGTCTATTTACAGTCCAATTCTCAACAGGAAATTGGGGGAGGGGAGAATGAATAAAGTTTGAACTCAGGGTTCCAACTAATAAAGCTTTCTCTTGCGATTCAAAACAAAAGTTGTGGGACGTAACATTTGACACGGCCAGAAAAATACAAGCCAAACCCCTCGACAATCTTAAATCACTCCAGGTCCTTAAGATCGTAGTCTGAAAATGTCAGGTCAGGCAGAATTTTGGAAAACTCTCAAACTCTTAGAAGCTGGATCTCAAAAACAATTGCAGGAGATCCATCGGCCTCCAAATTTAGCCTAAACTGAAGGTTTTTTTCTCTCTACAAAACGTCTGTACAAATCTTAAACCTTAAGAATCGCTTGAGAGATACTTTGGGTGTATTGTTGTGTACATAACAGCTCAATTACTGGTTTTACATTCTGAACGAGTGTGCGTAGACTGGGCTGAATAAAATGGCATCAAAGGTGCTATAATTTTCTCACCACTGTATGAAAATGTCATCAATTGTAACATGCAGCTCATTTTTTTGTACATAAACATTTGCCGTTTGGTGATGGATTCACTAAATGAAATTTCTGGTTCTGCAGGTTAAACAGACATTCGTGCATGTTATCAGCAAATCGCAAGAGTTTCAGTTGCCCCAGTGCAACACGCCACAACTCACTGGGTAGTGGTCAGTCAGTCAGTCAATCAATCAATCAATTAATCAATCAATCAATCAATCAACTGGGTTATAATAAAATATTGATAATATGCCTTGTATTTGATAGAGCGTCTTGTCACGTCTTCGAGACGTCTCAAAGCCCTTTACAGTTCCATTGGGAACAGCCTTAATGTTCCCAAAGTGGCATTTAGTCTTCAAGACTTGGATTAAAAATTAAATTGGGCAAATTGGAGTTTCAACCTGCAATTGGGTTTCAGATAGATGGACAGAAACCATTTCTGAATACCCACGGGGCTGCGGATTGGATTACAAACTCCAAATTAAATAGTCTCAGCCCAATAATTGTTCCTACAGAGTCAGTTCATCTTCTATTACACTGTAAAGTGGATTGACTGTGTGTGTTTTGGGGGGTGAAACGCGGTAGCCAGTTCCGCACAGCAGTGTCCCACAAACAGTCATGCAGTGAGTCACCAATTCAGCAATAAGGCATTTTCTGGTTAGGGTTTTTCCCAGTACACTGGGTTTTCCAGCTTTGTCACTGGGTTTTCCAGCTATTGGTGGCAATAGCTTCACACCAAAGCTTCAATTACTGGCACCAATCTCGCTCGAGGTGTACGGAATGACGCTCGATCACAGAACCAACGAACGGAACCCAATGAAACAGTCCACGTTCGAAACAAAGCACTATTTAAAAATAAGCAGCAGAGTCACAGTGTGGCATCAAAAAACCCAAATAAATCAATAAATACAAGTCCACAAAAAAGATTGCACTCTCCATGCAACGATAATCATTCCAAATGAACAAAGAAAGCTTCTCTCACCATTGTCAAAACGTTTCTCTACCCTTATTTTCCCGTTTGTACCAGCACATGCAAGCAATCTGCATTTCACTTCAAATACCCCAATATTCCCGCAATACAGTACATTGTTCGTCTGGCATCAATACCAGCTTGTGACATTGACAACTAAGCCAGTATGTGCTAAAACAGCTTTATAGATGTACTCCCTGTACCAGAAAGGAATCTTTCGCTCGACAATATGAACTTACTTTCAGTTTAATCTAAATTTCTACAAGAATGAAAGGTTGGGATGAGGAATTGATTTCATCCTGCCAGAAAACTGACCCTGATATCTTCCCGTTCATGCTTGTATATTGGGACACGGTGTGATGTGATGACCGGCTATTTGGTGGTAGATACACAAAGTGATATTTTGTGTACGTTCAAGGTCGCATCACAAAATAGGAGTTTCGGTTGTACCATGAGAATTAAAGCAATGTACATCTTAAACACATTTAGGATAATTACTCAATGTCACTTATAAACAAGGTCCGATTGGATTTTAAAAAAAATGCTCAAACAAGCCTGGATATAATGTCTCAAGCCTTTATCCAGGTTTCTATAGAAAAGCAAAGGGTTTAGCCTCGGAGGGTGTGCTGTCTTGGAGATTGTCTTAGGCTTCCGCACATGTCCTGTAACCCTTGGATCCTCCAACGACAAATGCGACAACTCAAATTCTGCATCAACCTTCTCTCCACAAAGACATGAATTGGAGATAGTGTCCAACACAGCAACGGGCAGGCCTAATAAAGATCTGGCTTCCCCCCCAAAAAGGGAGGGCTTCCTTCCAAGCAACACATCTTGGTCGTTCAAAGGAAAGGTGCAAACGTTCATCAACAGAGAAGGCTGTGGGCTTGGTGGCATCTCGTAACGGACAAAAGAAAAAGTTAGTGGTTCGGGAGAACCCTTCAGACGGCAAGCTCCGAGGTTCATTTTCTTTTTAAGAAATAAAGAAATGTGCTGCGTTTCCGTCATTAATTATCGTCAGCTGCATTCGGAGCAAATGGTATCACCTAACCTCGCGCAGTACCGTTCACCCACCGGAGGAAGGAATGCCGGACACACTCGCTGTACAAATGCAGGTCCGACCAACAAGTCTGGTCAAGAATACTAAGAGCTTTCCACCAGATAATAGCAAGCCGAAAAAGAACCCAATGTTATAGGGTTATTCTTCCCCACAGACGCGCACACACACTCACGCGCATGCCCGCACGTCTCAATTGGGGGAGGAGAGACGAGGAGAAAGAATTCATTCTACAAACTCATAGAAAACACAAGAGCTCGATTTAAGAATAAGTGACTGTGTTGTATCAAGACGTTACCCAGTTGTGTTTTCGTATGGAAGAGATTCAGAGCAACGGGTTGTGCGTTCTACAGGTTGAAGGTCGCCTTGTGCATAGGAAACCCATAGTGTTCACCTTGGCCCCAAAACAAGTGCACACAGTCTATTTCGTCACTTAAAAAGTTTTTTTTTATATATATATATATAAATAAGCTTTTTTTTTGTTGTTAAAAGTTACATGTTTGGAGGGCTGGTAGGTGGTGGTGGTGGTGGTGGGAAAGGAACAGGTTCAAACTTTAAAAAAAGTACCACTAGGATGATTGAATAAAACTCCTCCCCTCCAAAAAAAAAACTTTTAAAATGATTCCGAGCCAAGGCAGGACAGGATCGACCTCTTACAATGCAAGGATCTCCCCGCCTTCTGTTTAGCAAGAGAAGCGAACGCGAGGCGTGTGTTGGAACCTGCCCGATTCCTCAACTGACTTTTCACATGATGCTTGAGGGAGTGTCTTCACAGAGTCCGCAGTTGCCAGGCTCAGTGGCCTTCACTCTCCTCTCTACAAGGACAGCAAACCCGGAGTGTTGGATGTTTCTCGGTTGCTTGAGGTAGCCAATCGCTGGGGTACAGATGAAGGGCAGCCACAGTCACAGCGCCTCGGGGAACGCAACGGTAGCTCTCGAGAACAGGTCAACCGGTCGTATGATACGCCACAGGTAGGTATCCAACCTCGCAACCTTCCTATTCTCCCCTCACTCCCCCCCCCTCCCCCCCCACCCCACCACCAGACGGTCTGTCACCTCGACCGAAAAGTCGCCCCCCCCCCCCCTCCCCAAGAGAGGCGGCCACCACTTTGCAAATAAGTTACACGTCACCGGAAAAAAAAAAAGCAAGGACGGACGCCGAGAGCAGATGCCGCGGTCTGTGCGCGCAATAGAAAGGGGTGAAGACTTGAGAGGCTATCTGCGTCTAACGCCTAATAAAGACAATGTGGTTAACGCTGGCAGGTACTCTAGCATTCTACGGGCGTCCAGTTCTATTAAAACTCAGACCTCCTGCAGGGCGAAGATTTTCATCCGCTGTTAAAAAAAAAGGCAGCTTTATTGTGACTCGGGAATCGGGGTCATGTTCAAGGTGTCGTTCTCTAACTGTTCGGCGGTGATGAGCGCCTGCGTGATCAGGTTCAGCTCCTCGCACAGAGTCTCGTGCCGGTAACCCACGCGGATATCCGGCACGTTGGTGCGGCGAATATCATTGCCCTCGATGCTCTCCTTCTGGTAGTTTGGTCCCAGCCAATAGCTCTTCACCTGCAAAGCAAAGGGAACCAAAGTACTTCAGTTCCTTCCCCAATTCCGTAGCCGTGGCTCCGAGCGCTCTGAGCCTCCCCCCACCCGCCGCCCCCCGCGTGATGGACGCTCCATAACTGCCAGTAGTTTTGTTGTTGGTGGTGGTAGCAATCACCACCACGCCGGTAATTACCAAAAGGGAGTTTGTCCCAGTGTCTCTGGCCGACAATTCCCCCCATCCCCACAAAAAATGTTTTACCTATCAATCCCTCCCTCCCTCATTCACTCACTCATTCACTCACTCACTCCACGGCTTGGGACGTCGCTGTGCGCAAATCGGTTTCCAGCGTCTGCCCACAAAGTACGCACGGTCACACCGCTTTATGGTAAAATCCCGTGAAGCGCTTTTGAGACGTCTCGGGCGACGTGAGAAGGCGCTGTGTCGAATGCAAGGACCTCTGATCTGCCACCAAAAGGTTGGAACCAGCCTGCTTTACGGTCCGTTAACGTGCGCGCGCGGGTGTGTGTGTGTGTGTGCGCCCACGCGCATGTGTTACCTTGTGGGAGAAGCCACTCATCATCACACTGTTCCTCGCCAGCTCGCACATGTCGCAGGAGCTCAGCTTCCACACCTGTGCAGCGATGCTGTACTCCTCCATCAGAGGCTCCTGAGGTTGAGGAGACAGAAGCTGTTTAAAGTCGATTATCCGGTCTCGGTGCGCAGCCCGCAGCTTGAAACGAAAACAGAAGTGGCTGGGAACAGGCAAGCCGGTCAGGCAGCCTCGACGGAGAGAGGAAAGCGAGTTAACGTTTCAGGTCGATGACCTTTCGTCGGTACTCAAAAAAGGTCCTCGACCCGAAACGTTCACTCACTTTCCTCTCTCCGTCGACGCTGCCTGACCTGCTGCGTGTGCCCAGCGACCTCTGTTTTCATTAAACAGATTTCCAGCATCTGCAGTGTTTTGCCTTGTGTTTACCCGAAATTGGAGTTGGCCTCAGAACCGCAAGGGGGGAAAAAAAAAACACTCCACGTTTTGACCATCAGTCTTTGCATCTGGTCAGCTTGTGACTAGCGAAACAGTCTGACTGACCCACTTCTCGCAAAGATGAGGGAGGAAGGAATAGAGGAGTATAACGGCTGGAGTAATGCAATGGCCTGTCTCAGTGTTGTGTAGTCTTCTTCTGAGTCTGAAACTTTCAAGACTGAGGCGGATAGATTTCTCTTAGGTCAGGACATCGAGGGGTAGTTTTTGATGGTTGATTTTGTTTGTGCTTTTTTTAAGAAAAAGGCACCATTGGTAGACTATTACAACTATTACAGGAGACGTCTTTCCATCGCAATCGTGAGAGGTTTGGCCGCCGAGTTGACACGTGTAAACGACTGTATTGGATGCCGTTTGAACATCTCATACGAATAAGGACTTTTGATTCACCTCACCCCGTATATTGATCCCCCCCACACGACCCAACCCCACTCCCGCCGGGACTTACCTTGGTAAAGTGGAACTGGAGTGGGTCGTCCGTGGAGAGCGACACCATCAGGCCTCGGGAGAGGTACTCTGGCAGTGGGTTTCGGTGGTAGCTGAGAAACAGACTATTGTTGCTCAGTGGTGACATGGCAATTCCAATCTGGGCCAAGTAGTAGAGGTACTGCAGCACTGGAGCCTGGCGATCAAACACAGGTCACAAAGGAACATTTACAAGTGACGCACTAACGTTAGACTGAAGTGATGAGAAGTTACGTTTTTCTTTTAAGTAAAAAAAATCCCTTGAGCATTTAAGCAGACAAACTAACAGTTTTTATTGGCTCTTTCGCTGGCTTGGTAACCTAACGCCACATACACTGGAAATCCTCCATCTCGCTGAGCGTTTTATAGAACATCTATGAAAAGGTCCCTTCCCCTCCCCAACGGGAACCTTTTCAACAACAGCGACAACAACAAATTGCATTCACGTCGGAAGGACGTCTCAACGTGCTGGACAGTAAAGGGTTTGCACCCGAGCTGGGGGTTGGAGTCGAGATGGATGGAGGGAACAAGGGGGAGGTGGGGGTGGGAGGGTGACCGAAGGTGTGGTCGGTCGAAGAGGAAGGTCTTGAGACGGGCCTTGAAGGAAGCGAGCGAGGGAGGTGGGGGAGGCGAGGTGGTGGGATTCAACGGTGGAGTTCCAGAGGGTGGGGGCAGAAAGGCTGAAGGCCCGACTTTCAAAGGATGTTGAGCTTGGTGCCTTCTCCCCGTTTTGTTTGTACCTTTCGCAGCAGAAGACCATGAGAGATATTCTCAGAGAGCATGAAACCCGATATGAGGTGATGGATAGGCCCAGCCTCTCCACAGTGCGGGCGTAGAACAAACGTGTTGAAGCCCCTCTTCCTGCAAAGTGAAGAGGAACAAGGCTCACAACAAGCCCATGGGGCCAAATCAACGCCCCCCCCCCCCCGTCACTCCCCCTCCCTCCATTTCATTTGGCCCACCCGCTCCCTCCATAACCCGTACGTGTTATGTTACGTTTCTTGGAAAGGGAACCCTCAAAAAAATATTGCCCTCAGCAGCCAAAAGGTTGGACCTTCCCCAATTCCCCCACCACCCCCCAATGTAAGCCATTGAGTAGCAACCTGCTAGGTGTCCAGCATGATTTTAGTATGTGTGTGTGTGTGTGGGTGGGGGCGGCGAGAAATACTAAACCATAACCCTCCCCATTACGATCCCTGTAAAGTTCGGGCCGTGGTGAAAGGTGAGTGATATAGAAATAATCCTGGTCGTACTTGCGGAGGTGGTTCAGAACCGTCATGTTGGCAAACATGTAGTAGAGGTAATAGGAGTAGGGGGGGTTATCATCCTCTGTCCAGTTGACGGGCAGGGGGCTGTCTGCATTGAAGATCTGGTGTTCAGGCTTCGACTCGTCGTCCACACTGTCAAAGCCCACCACCTGCAAACACCGACAAACAACATCCCGTTCGTCAGTCGGCGAGTTCTCGTTCGGGAATACGGTTCAGAGATTTGTGGCTTTCATAAAATAACCGTCGTGACATTTGACACAGAGCCTCTCGCATCAGGAGGCCGTCTCGAAGGGCTTCGCAGGATTTACTGTGACGTGTGGTGACTGTGGTATCCTGTGGCCCAATGCGGCAGCCGATTTGCACTCAGCAATGTCCCACGTGAAGTGAATGAGGGATATTATTTCAGGGATTGTTGGTCAGGGCAATGGCGGAAACTCACTTGGTGAGTCCTGATGCAAGACTTAACCCACAAGCTTCTCACCCAGAGGCAGGAGAGCTACCCACTGAGCCAGACTTAGTCCTTTTCAACAGGCTCCTGGCTATGTTTATTCTATATTAAGAACAAAATGCGATATAAATATTGTCCAGTGCAGCTTGGGATGAGACATCCTAAACTTATAATGATAATCATCCTTGCATCTGAGACAGCGCCTTATCACGTCATCGAGACGTCTCACAGCGCTTCGCAGGATAATTTGACTCACATGCTGAAGGAAAAGGTGAAGCTCTGGGTGGTTGCGAGGGTTAATGGTGGCTTCAAAGATGGGAATAAAGATATTCTCCAGCATGTCTTGGAAGCTGGCCAGCTGGTTCTTTGTGCGGAAGACATCACTTGGAAGGAATGGATTGGAGAGAGAGAGACGGAGAGAGGAGAAAGGAGACAGTTCAGTCCTGCGAGCAGAACGTGCTTCTGTGCAGAGCGCTGGAAAAAGGGGGTCACTCGAGTGTTTTATATAATCAAACTCTCATTCAATATTAATCTCCTATTCATTCTAAACGCGGGCCGGGAGAAGCTTCCACTGTGCTCAGCGATTCTCGAAGCAGGGAGCGCAGGAATCCGAGATCGGGAGATGAATAATTCAACACTTTATTAATTCATAGAATCACAAGGGCTATTTGCGGAGGGGGGGTTGCACAATCGGCTCATTGTGAGTCGGGCGAATCGTTTGGAGGTGTTAATTGGGAATTCACCTTAGCTTCGGTCTGCACGGGCTGTGTGTTAAATCACTCCGCAGATAAAAAGAGCCTCAAATAGAACAGGGGCCCCAAGTTTCCTCGAGCTCTTTGTTTTAAGATCGCCCCCTTTAATTTCAGGATTACGAGGAATTTCCTAAGTCGCAGTCCAACTTGGAAACCGATTTTGCACAGCACCCAAAAGAACGACAACAAATTACCTTTGTATAGAGCCTTTTATGTCGGGAGGACGTCCCAAGGCGCTGAACGAATGGCGCTTGATAAAGCACTTAGGAGGGTAACATCAATGAACAGGGGGAAACTTGACCTAGTTTTAGCCTAAGAGCCCATTACTCCCCGAATTTAAGAATTGTGGGGAAAGAAAGAAAAGTCCTTTCAATTTGCTCTTAATTTTGAACGACAACAATTATTTGCCCAACGCCTTGAGATGTGAAAACCGCTATACAATGTAATGTGTTGTCGTGGTGGTTGTTGTTGTTGACGTTGGGAGGATGTCCCGAGGCGCTGAAGGGCCTTAGAAAGTTTGGGGGGGGGGGGTGGGGGTGGGGGGGGGTGGGGGGGAGGTCGGTGAAATCAAGGCCGGTTTGGAAAGTACCCGCTGGACACTCACAAGAGCCGCGGCAGTTGGATCAGCCAGCACACGTTGTTGGAGTAGACCTTGTGCTTGACCACCCACTTGGCCAGTCGGTCCCACTCGTCCCGGGACCGGCCGTACACAGACAGACGCAGCTCGGCGTTCTGGTACTTGCTCTCCTCCAGGTCCTCCATCACCTCCTGCAGCGCACGAGAAGGAGGCGGGAAAAAACTGAGAGACGGCAAAGAGCGGCGAGGAACGTGCAACACTTTCCGGACGTTTCCCGGGGTCTGATGGTTCTCTCTCCCTCCTTTTTATTCTACTCAGCGACCGTCCCAATGCGAGCGAGAAGGACGAGGGGAGAAAGCCGGAAGGAGTCATTTTCTCGTCCCCAGAAATCACTTGGCTGCTCCAAGCAAAACTTCTCCACACTCCCCGCCACACCACCCCCCCACCACCACGCCCCTCCCCGCTTAGAAGTCCAACCGTTTTAGCTTTATTTTACATTTATCTTCCAAGTGCTCGCTGTGAACCGTCTCAATTTGACTGGTCAAGCATTTTTGTTTTGGAAGGAGGGATTATTACTCCCCCCCCCCCCCACCACCGGAAAGCGATCCGCCAATCGACTAACAACCGGGCTCCTCCTTACTGCTCGGCAAACAGCGGCTTGCTGAGGAAGGATCTGCCTAACGTTTCTCCCCGCCCTGGGAATTGAACCCGGGTCCTCTCGCTCGCGAGGCGAGGGCTCTAACCGCAAAGCTACGCGACTCCGCAAAAAAAAGGGCAACGTCAAAGCAACTCAACAGGGAGACAGTCCATCGGTGCTCAAACCCACTCACTTTTATCATGTGGCCAAAATATTTGCCTTGGATGTGATTGTCTGTCTTGATGAAGATCTCGCGGAGGATGGACTCACCGATAGGGTTGTACTTGGCGTTGAATTTATCAAACCGGTGAAAGGTGTTCCGATCCTGGAATGGAGAATAACGCAACAAAACACCAAACATACATACGTCAGTGCCACAGGGGGACCCGGGTTGCAAATACCCAGGGGAGCCACGTACGTTTATACCATAAAGCGGAACCGTTAAGAGGGTTCCCTGCGTCCTGGTGGATAAAACGTTTCGCACCGCAAAAAGTACGGTCGATTCGCTTTACGCTGTACACTGTGAAGCGCTTTGAGACGTCTCGAAGACGTGATGAGGCGCTGTATCAAATGCAAGGATTATTATTATTATTATTATTAAGTGCATACCTCCCACTCCACACACATCCACACACACACACACACGCACAGATGATTAAATGTGCTCTGTAGATACAGACGAACGTACAAACTGCTGACCCCGCAGCCTCTAAACCCTTGTCATTTCGAAGGAGGAACATCCAACAACAGCAGCCACAGCAACTTGCACTTATATAGCGCCCCCTCATGCAGAGTAGCGTCCCAGAGCGATCCCGTTGGGGGTCAGTCCTATGAATACTAACTGCTGTACTCGCCCTTAGATGTGACTCAGGTTATTATTTTTGTTTGGTGAACACTGACCCTGTGACAAGGCTTCCCCAAAGAGCTCCGAGCGGGGCGAACACACGGGGAGAATCCGTCCATTCGCAAAGGGCAGTCGGCTTGGGGCACCCTCTGCTCCCAACGCTGGTGATCGGTGTGAAGTGCAATCGCCTCCTCTCTTGCTTTTTTTTTTAATCGTTAAGTTCCCAAATCGATCACAGAGGAGAGCGTTTTGATTTTTCGTCTCTGGGGGCGGCTGAGGTTTTAAGAGCAGCCCTGGCCAACTGGAACACCTCATGAGCTGTTCAACGACAAAAATAACCCCTCACCATGAAACACATCTAGGGATTTGTACTTACTATTCATAGTACTGAGGCCTTGGGATCCCCTTTCGCCTCTGACAAGGAATCCTTTTACCTGCCAGAATTTAAAGAAAAGGACGCCATTTACAATCTACGCTCGGGGCGGGGTCGGGGGTGGGAGGGATGTGGGGGGGTGGGTCAGGGAACTAGCTGCTCTTCACACCTCAATTGACTTCAAGGTCTATTTCCCTCCCACCCTTCCTCTGGAGACGTCAAGGAGTTTGACCATCGCTGCTCTTTAAACTCATCATGACGTACTGTCCATGTCTACTGTCTTCTTACCCCAAGTCATGTGTCTCCTCCTCTCTCTCTCTCTCTCTCTCTCTTTCCCCCTCCCTCAACATCTCTGCGAGCTCATTCACCGTAGTAACAATAATAATAATCCTTGTATTTGATGGAGCGCCTCATCACGTCTTCGGGACGTCTCAAAGCGCTTCACGGGATAGAATGTACAATGAGTGGACTGTGTACTTTGTGGGCAAAATTGTAGACTCGATGGGTTGAATGGCCTTTCCTTACGTGCTGTAAATTGTACCATGCTCTGCGTCAATCGCTTCTCGTCCCTGGCGAGAACGATTGTGCGTGAGGGGGTTTAGGGGACGGGGGAGGTCAAGGGGAAAGGGGGAGGGGAAGGAAGTGAGAGATACGTGCTTGGTTTTCCAGTGGTGCAAGGCTCAAGCCTCCGACTGACGACGACGACGACAACAACAACTTGGATCCATACACAACAACAGCAACTTGCATTTCCGGCGTCCCTCACGCGGGGCAGCGTCCCAGAGCGTTCGACAGCGCCAGCGTCTCGAGCGACTGTGCATTTTGTGGGCGAAATGCGGCAGCCAATCGATCCGCCAAATCGACTTGACGACCGGGTTCCCACTCGCCGCGAGGTAAACAGAGGCGCGAAGCAGTGTCCCTCACGTCCCGGAGCGCTTGACAGCAGGACTCAGGGCCTTGCGAGAGCAAGATCCACCACACCCCCATCTCCCCTTCCCCACCACCACTCCCACCACCACCACGTACCGCATGCATGTCCAACGTGTCCACGCTCAGGTCGTATGCGGTCAGGTTCATGGTCTCGAAGACGTCCTTGAGGGTCTGTCCCTTCCCGTTCTCCACGTGCACGATCTCGTTGGGGTACTTCTTCATGGCCCGCTTGATGAAGCGCAGCAGGTGCTTCTGGTTCATGCAGGACGAGGCGTGGATGTGGGTGTCAACCTCGGCAAAGAGAAGACAACAATAACAATTTGGGACTTGGGTCACTTCAAACCCACGGCCATTTCTGCTGCCGTGCTTGGCCCACGCGAAACACACCATCATTCGCGTGACCGCACCCCCCCCCCCCCCGATTACAATTCCCCTACTTTGCGGATGTTGTAGAAGTCGCGATGGGGCACTTTCTTCTGGGCCGCCAACTCCTTCATCTCGTTCAGCAGCACGTGCATCTGGAACTTGGAGCTCAGGTACTGCAGGCGACGATAGCAGAAGGACTTTCTGTGTGTGGGGAGTTGGGGGGGGAGGGGTTGGGGGCAAAAAAAATCCTGTCAAAGGTGGCCACGATAAGGCGCTATCACAACAAGGCAAGGGCTGCGGTTGCAACGCTAGGACAAGTGGAACCGTAACCCGTCCTTTTCCACGGCTGGTGTGGAGATGGCGCAGACTTGCTCGTCTCAAAGCCAAGCGACAAACAAGGCAAGTATTTCACGTGCTCATTGCTGCTGTCGCTGCTGCTGGTGGTGTTGGTGTTGGGGCTGAAGACGTTGGGAGGCATCGAGATGGAGGGATCGAAGCAGGGAGTAACAGAGGTTAGGAGCGAGCGTAGAGATCGGCTAACCACGGAGGCAAGGATGAGCTTGGGGGGGGGGGGGGGGTCTGTGCCAGCCGAGCAAAGAAGGGCAAGCGGAGTGGGGGCGGTGGGGGGAAACATGGTATGAGCGGGTCCGAGAGAGGTAAGGGAGGTGCTGGGGCGCGAAGCGATTTGTGCGCTTACACGGGTCCGTTGATGATCAGGGCCATTAAAACGTTCATGTCTGCGGTAAACTCCTGGAGATCTGGGCAAGGAAGGTCCAGCTCTGTAGACCTGAAAAAGACGGGAGGTTTGAATTGAGTTGAGCCGAGCGCGTGCACATTGTTGCGGTGTTTTATATTATAATAATAATAATATAATAATAATAATCCTTGCATTTGACCCAGCGCCTTATCACGTCGTTGAGACGTCTCAAAGCGCTTCGCGGGATACACCGTAAAGTGGAGTGACTGTGTGTTTCGTGGGCGAAACGCGGCAGCCAATTGCGCCCAGCGACGTCCCGGCAAACAGACAGTGGATTGAGCGACCAAACTTTTTTTTTTGCCGATAAGGCGCTACATGAAATGGAAAGTTATCGGAAATTATCGGTTATTGTTATTGGGATTATTATTTCGTTGTTTTTTTTTTCTCGCCCCAAAGAGTCGACGACAAACCAAAATGACTTTCGACGCTGTTCAAAGGAAGAGGAGGAGAGGACAGGAAAGGGGTAGGGGGTGGGTGGGGGAGTGGCGGCAGCTTACTTGTCCATCACCCCGCACTGAGAATACACGTGGACCACTCCGTCCGTCATCCTGCAGCCGAACCCCACGTCCTCGGGCATCAGGGCTGGTTCACAGTGTTTGTAGGGGTGCTCCTCGGCGAACGGCAGGAGCATGGGGGCATCTGCCAGAAAATTCACAGCAAAAAAAGAAAAAAAACTCTTGTGATTTTGTTTGGAGGTGAGAGGAGGTGGCGGGGGTTGGGGGGGAGGAGTTGGGGGGGTGTCGGGGGGGGAGGAAGAGGATGAGGAGGAGGTGGAGGAGAAGGAGGGGGTATGGAGTACCAGAGGAACTCGCTGTGGAAGCTGTGGTTAGTATCTCAAGACCCTTCCTCTTCGACCACGCCTGCGGTCACCCTCCGGCCCCCTATACCCTCCCTGCCCACCACCCCCACTCCTGATCCCAACCCACCTTCCCCCCACCCCGCCCCGCCCTCCCATCCCGCCCCCGCCCCCCGCACCCACTCCACCTCTAGGTTCCAAGTCCCTGACTGCCCAGCGACTTGGGGATGTCCTCCCGACGAGAAAGGCGCCGTGTGACTGTAAACACGGACGTAATTCATTGCGGTCGATGGGTCAACAGTGCGGGATTTCTGAATGCGCCTTCGAGAGGAAACGCAATTGGCAGAAAAGAGACACAAACGGAGAAAGACCGGACGCGGCCAATTCAGTTGGGATCGCCGAGCTCTCCCTCCCGAGTTGGGGCCTCACCACATGCCACAACGCGCCACAACACACCGCACCCACATCACACGCACCACAACACGCACCCCACACCAGCTCAGACCTGGTTTGATGGGCGTCTCTGGCATCTCGTCGTAGATGTTCGCCTGCTGCTGCTTCTCCTCCAGCTGCTGCAGGAAGCGCCGTGTGGTCTTGTAGAAGCCCTGCAACGACAGCGCCATGTACCTCTCCCGCATAAACAGGCTCTTCACGATGCACTTGGCAGCGTCCAGGAGGTCAGTGAACGGAACCTGGTGATGGGTAGGTTGGGTTGGAGCGTGAGAGGGGAGGGGAGAGAGAGGGTGGTGAGGGTGGGGGGGGGTGGAGGGGAGGAAGGGGAGGGAGGTCGCAGAGAAAAAGATGGAAAGAAAATGTAGTTCGGAACCAGAAACTGCTGAGCGTTGACGACGCGATTATTGGGACTTACTTAAAAGTTACACAACTGGTTTCAGGAAGAAGGAACGACAACCAGCAGGTGGGGCTCGATATCACAACTCGCTGCTCGTTACATTTATATTATTACGGAATCCCATTCATCCCGGCCTTCGTTTTTCTTCCAATGTCCGAATTTTTGTCTCAAGGTCTACAATGATGGAGAAGGGGCGGGCGGGGGGAGAGGGCGGGCGGGCGGGGGGAGAGGGAACAGAATATATTGTAAAGTTGTATTGATTTGTGTATTTTGTGGGCGAAACGCGGCAGCCAATTGCGCACTGCAGCGTCCCCACAAACAGTCGTGGACTGAAGTGACCATTCAGTGCCTCCACACGGAGGTGGTTTCTGTGCCGTGTGGCACTGTGGGGGTGTTGGGAGGGGGGGGTTTGCGGAAGCTGAGATCGGAGCCTTACGCTGCACCTACCCCGCATTTCTCCTCTCCCGATATGCTGACCCGCTGGAACTCCCTCACCAGTGCCGGCTTCTGCTCCTCCGGGAAGTGCTCAGCGGAGGAATCAATTTGGTCCTTGTAATACCTGTGAGTGGGGGGGGGGGGGAGAGGGGAAAGCACCCGGCAGAGGGTTATGTCTTGTCTTGCTTCGAACGCAACGGAGGATCTGACCAGCGCGCCTGTGAGGGAGCCACACCCCACCCCGACATCAACAACAACAACATCAACACATTGCATTTAAGCGGCGCCTTTCACGTGGGAGGACGTGCCAAGGCGCTGGACATTCAGAGATTTGGACCCGAGCTGGGGGTTGGGATCAGGAGGGTTGGGGGTAGGAGGGTGACCGAAGGCGCTGGCTGATGGAGGACCTCACGGCGTCAAAAACCTCGGTGTCGAAAATCATCCAGTAAAAAGGAGAGAGAAAAAGAAAAATCCCAGAATCATCTGAGCAATCACTCTGAGGGTTTCATTTTCCAGAGGACTCCGGGACCAAACAGCTTACAAAAAAAATATAAGTCTTAGGAATACTTAGCAAACTGACCCACTCCCTGGGAGCGCCCGAGGCAGAGTGGAAGCAGAAAGAGATATGATCGGATTCGAGATTCCACCAACACACGCACACTCACTCATGCACTCAAACACGTAACACACCAACACGCCAACACACAACACGCCAACATCCAACCCACAAGACGCCAACACACAACACGCCAACAGACACCACGCCGACGCAGCGGTAAACAGGACTTCTTCATGTTGCGGTGGATGACTCACTGGAGGTCTGAAGCGCTGTCAATTTTCATGAAGTCCTGTTTGGCTCTGAGTAGGATTTCTGGCTCTAGTCTGAGGCATCGCAGGCAGAGAAGCAAGGCCGAGAAAAAAGAGAACATGGAAAGTGAGAGAGAGAGAGAGAGAGAGAGAGATTGTGAAGGAAAAAAAAATACCAGCCAGTTAATCCAAAGATAATTTTCCAGCCCTTTTTCCCAGCCCTTCACCAACAGAAGTGTTACTTAGCTGAAGGCAGCGTTGTCAAGGCAAACCCACCCTCACTCAGCCACGCCTCAGCCGAGGCTACAAAGCCTGAAGATCCAACGAAAGTAACACAGGAGGCAATGGCGTTGGGTTTTCTCAGGCGGCTCGGGCGGCGTTGCCTTCCCGTTCTGCCCCCGACGCCGGGGGTGGACCTCGTCTCCAACAGGCGGCTGTCAAGCCACCGGGCAAGTCGCGAGACCAAGAGCCATTGAAGCCGCGACTCCTGGAGCAGGAGGGGCTGTCATTGCGAGGCTCGGGCCACCCGAGGGCGCTGTTGAGGCCCGAGAGAGGTCCGCACTGATCTGGAAGGTGAATGCCAATTGGGAAGCTTGGTTTGTTCGGGAGAGGTTTCCCCCCAAACAACAACAACAACAACTTGCCAACCCGGCAACGCTTGACCCTGGCGGAGTCTGCCGCCGACCCAGGGGGAGGGGGGGAGAGGGGGAAAGGGTGGGGGGGGGGGGGTGGGGGTGGGGGCGGGGTAGGTGGGAGGGAAGGGGGAGAGAGGGAGGTGACCGCAAGCACGATCCCCGAAAAAAGGAAGGTCTTTAGGCGGGATTTGAAAGCGGGGGTGGGATGGGGCGAGGCGGAGGCATTGAGGGAGAGGGAGAGTTCCAACGACCACAAGAGCAACAAAGGGGGATGATGTTGTCTTAACCTTTGAGGACTTCCAACCCCCCCCCACCCTCCACTCCCCCCCCCCCCACTGTCTTAAAATTCCTCAATTTTAGCCCAATTTTGAGGTCCTGACCTGCCCCAGTTGCAGTGTTTGCGGCGAATATTAGCTCATCGCTCTCCGCTCGGACACCCCGACACCGTGGCTCTCACCTCACGTCCTGGCTGATCTGCCGCTCCAACCTCTGCCGCCTCTCCTCCAGCTGCTCGATGGGACTCTCCTCCGGGAACTCGTACGGGGCACTCCGCATGTCACTCTCCGCCATGGACCGGGAGAAGAGCTCCTGGACCAAGAGACATTCCGCTCAGCAAAGCTGTTCGGAGCCATCGCCACAGGGAAAGCAACGCAGACTCCCTCCGTGGCCGGGCGCAAGCTTACAACAACAACGACAACTTGCGTTTATATAGTGCCCTTCACCCCGGACGTTACTTGCTGTGGAAGAGGTAAGGACGATCAAGAAAGTTTGCCCTTTCCCTCTTTTTTTTGCCACCTTGCTGGGGAGCAAATCAGCCGACCCGTCCCGCCTGCAAACATACGCAGTCACTACACTTTACGGCAAATTCCTGTGAAGCGCTTTGGGACCGCCTGCCAAAGTGAGAGGCGTTGCATCAAATGCGAGGATCATTATTAACCCTCTCTACCAACCACACGCCTAAAACCCTATAACGGAAAGAAAAGAAAGTTCTGTTCCAATTCACGGTTGAGCAATAATAATAATAATCCTTGCATTTGACACAGCGCCTTATCAAGTGGTCGAGACGTCTCAAAGCGCTTCGCAGGATACACCGTAAAGTGAATTGACTGCGCGTTTTGTGGGTGAAACGCGGCGGCCAATTGCGTACAGCGATCGCAGTTGTTTTAACGGGAGGTTTGTTTGGGCGAGATAGGGGTGGTGGGGGGGGAAGGGTTAACTTTCTCGATCGTCCTTTTCTTTCACACAGCAAATAAAATCCTGATAAGGCTCTGCCCTCAATCCCAGTTAACTGCTTGCCGTTCCGCACAGTTATGTTCTCCGATGTCCTACTTCTCTTCCTCTCGGTTGACGTATCCGGGTTAACCAGCCCCTCGTTGCCTATGAAGCGGTTGTAAATCTCTACACTACACATTTCACCTTGTATTTGCAACGGGAAGATCTAGGGCAAGGGATTCCCGCAGATTTCAGGCCTTTTCCTGACTATTCCTCCAGAGACAATAATTACAACAACACGGTCATAATAATTCTTGCATTCGATCGCAGTGGATCCACTGGGTATTTGGTGGGCGAAACGCGGCAGCCAATAGCGCACAGCAGCGTCCCACAAACAGTCGTGGATCGAGTGACCAAATGTGTTTTCTTGGAAGGTTTATTACCCCTGGAAAGCCATCCGCCAATCGACCAACAACCGTTGGTCTGCTGGGTAAACAGAAGCGTGTGCGCGAAGTAAGGAAACTTGCCTAAGTTGCCTAAACCTGCCCGGGAATTGAACCTGGGTCCTCTCGCTTTGCGAGGCGATCGAGCTAACCGCTACAGTAAGCTACCGGACTCCATGATAAGTACTAAATAAGTCCCCTACAAAAAAAGCCCCTACTCTCTTCCAGGTCAGAGCAGTGGTGGTGGGGAGAGAGGGTGGCGGACGGGGAGAGGGTCTCGGGGAAATCCCACTCAGGCTGGTGAAGAACAACGGAGAACTCACCTCCGCAATCTCTTTGTATTTGCCGTCCATGGAGGTGCGGAGGTGAAGAGGGAAGTTTTTCAAGGACAACGGGGTCCCAGGCAGCGACTGAGAGCAGTGGATTTGTTTCAGGGCTCCGGTCTTGCTTTGCAAGTCTGTAAAAGTGCGTAAACAACAAATGGGTGGTAATGGTTTATAAATATACAGTATATAATCAGAGGCTTTACCAGAGGTTTCGTTTTCAAAGCGGGAATTAAAAAGAAAGGGCACGACTTTGATAATAAAACAAAAGGGACTGTATGAATAAAACAGCAGACACTCGCGCGCACACCCACGCTCACACGCGAGCGCGCACACTCCATCACAGGCACTCAAGACACTCGCATGCACTCGCGCGCATGCGCGCACACTCACACGCTCTCACACACACTCAGACGCACTCTCACGTGCACGCACACACACCTACACACTCTCACACAAGCACACCCTCTCACGCGCACGCTCACGCACGCGCACTCTCACGCGCACAGCACAGCAAGGCTGCTGCTATATAATCGTGAGATACTTTTATAAATATCAAAAAACCATCTCTCTGCCCTCAAAACCCAATTAACAAGCAAATCACCACACACAGCTCCTCGATATGGCGGGCACTGGACTTTCAAGCGCTGTTAAATGCATAAAAGAGAGAGATTAATAAGCCGCTCTTATTGAACTCGCTCCGCAAGATAATCCACAACTGGATCAATGCAAGTTATCCCGCTGTGTAAATGCAAGTAGTCGTTGTCGTGAACCCGCGAACCATACCAAGACCTGCCCAAAAGTAATGGTTACCTGCCCGAGGTGCCGTTTCCTAACAGAAATCTATCCAGATGTGTCCTTGAAAGAATTCGACACTTTCTGCCTCCACCCGTCTCTCTCCCTAGGAAGCCTGTTCCAAATGTTCCTGCAGATTTGTTCGGGATTTATCCCTGTTCTGAATCGGACTTTGCATGGGCGGGAGAGGAAGTGGCATAAAGGGTTGTGTGTGTTCTTGTGCGTGCGTGCGCGTGTGTGTGTGTGTGTGTGGTCAGGTAAATAAACAATTAGGTTTTATGAAGCGAGATATCGCTCGGTCGGTATACTTGGATGGAAAATAAAATCTATGTTGTTTGTTTTGATAAATGTGCCTTGGGAGTTCTCCCCATCAGCACAGCACAGCACAGCACACGGTGAGCTGAGACCAGCCACGGAAAAGGTTTTGAGATAAATTCCAGGCTCGATTCTGGGAGTGGAACTTTAACCATTCCATTTCACGACGCACAGATGTTTTAATAATATATACGCGCAATAGAAAATTCCTCCCTCCTAGGAGCGAGGTACAAATTGCACAGTCACATGTGATAGAAAGAGCGAGAGAGAGAGAGAGGGGAGAGAGGAGAGAAAGAAGGAGGGAGGGAGAGAGAGTGAGAGACGGACACAGAGGCAAAGCAGAGTGAGAGAGACAGGGAGAGAACGAGGTGCCATGAGGACATGCATTCTCTTGGCCGACCGCCAACAGTAAAAGTTGACAAAGTTGCTCCTTTGCCTTCCCTGCGGAGCCTGGCTTCCCTCTGTCGTTCCGTGGCACCCTTCGACAGCTGCGATCATCTAATATTGATCTGCAGAGAGTTCCATAAAGCCAGACTGCTCTCCGGCTGCTGTAACATGCAGTTCCTGGTACAACTGAGATAAGGTATTGACCGGCCTGAAGCCATGTTCCAAGTCGCCAGCGCCTCACTCGCTCTTATACTCTCGCTTTGAATTTCGCTAACGTTTTTCCTCTCCTGAGGGTGTTTCCAGGACTCTTTTCTTCCGCCTCCCCCTCCCCCCTCCCCTCCCCACTACATTCGAGGCCGTGATAAGGCACAATGTCAAATGGAAGGATTATTATCATTATACAACAACAGCTTGCATCTGTAGAGCGCCCTTCACACGGGGTATAGTCCCAGAGCGTTTAATTATTATTATTATTACTATTATATGTGTTGCAAAAAATACGGTGACTCACATAATTAATATCCTCACGAAACATGGCAATACACACACACACATAAATATAGAGACAGCGAAAAAGTCAGAGACAAACACATATGGACAGAAAGAGAGAGACACACACACACACACACACACTCATTAGTTTTTTAAAATATATATATACAGTAAAAAAAACACACACACACACCTTAGAACCAGCTCAAGGCCCACAGTTTGCACTATTTTTTTTCTCTCTGCCGTGGTAAAGAAAAGATGCCGAGGTCACAACTTAAGGGCAAGCTGAGGGTCCTCACAGCAAAGGTTTCTAATATTTTGCCGAGTGTTCGAAGACATGAAGTGCAACGATTCTAACCTTGTCTGCCTGGGATCAGAGTAATCCACAGGGTATACGGTTTCTGTTTTGTCCACAGTATCGGTTACAACGAGAACTTTCGCGAGATATCATCAACACACTAATAATATCCAGCAAGATTTCCAGGTCGTAAAATCGACACCGTTTACCTACAGGTTTATCAACTCAGGTCAAGCCATACACACTTTACAACCACCAATCTACAGTAAACGGGCAAAGCGCAGCTCGACTCCACCCAAAAATATTCTGTTTGAACAGGTTAAGTGACTTCTGACACCCACTCACCCACCCACACACGCAAATAACTTTCACTCACGATCCTTGCGTTCGATACAGCGCCTTTCGCGTTGGGAGGACGTCTCGAAGCGCTTCAAGGGATTTTACTGTAAACTGTAGTGACTAATAATAATAATAAGGATAATAATTCCTGCATTTGATACGACGTCTTATCACGTTTTCTAGACGTCTCGGAAAAGCGCTTCACAGGATATACTCAATTGACTGTGAAACACGGCAGCCAATGGCGCACAGCTGTGTCCCACAAACAGTCGTGGATTGAGCCACCAAGTTATTATTTTCTTTTCAGCCAAGTTGCGCGACGCAAACACTGCGCCAAACAGCCACGAAGTCGTCCTCAGCGTTTCGAGAATAAAGACACGTCGTCCCACGCATTTCTAAGGGAAAACGGAACTGTTTATATTTGACACGTCAACACCTTGTCGCGTACCAGCATCAACGTGCCACTGAAATGCAACGGAAAGAGAGGGAAGGAAAGGGGTTACTGCACACACAACAGCCACCGGGCACGAATGCGGGTGCTGTGACCTTGAACGCATGGGTAAAGATGCCCAAGAAATTAACTGGAAAGTGATATCAACAGCGTGTGTGCTATCCTTTCATCACAAGCAAAACACACCGTGCGCTCACGTGCCTGAGCACCAGATGCTTCCGATAATAAAATAGTAATAATCCTTGCATTTGATACAGCGCCTTATCGCGTCTTTGAGACGCCTCAAAGCGCTTCACGGGATATACTATCAAGTGAATTGACTATATGTGTGGGCAAATCGCGGCAGCCAATTGCACACAGCAGCGTCCCCCACACCCCCCACACACACACACACACACAGTTGTGAACTGAGTGACCATATTTTTTTTTGAAGGGATTATTACCCCCGGAAAGGCGATGCGCCAATCGACTTACAACCGGGTTCCTGCTTACTGCTGGGTAAGCAGAGGCGCGCGTGTGCAGTAAGGAAGCTTGGCTAAGGTTTCTCCCTGCCCGGGTCCGCTCGCTTACGAGTCGAGCGCTCGTAACTACTGAGCTACACAGGACTCCATTGCACAGTCGATGCACTTGCACGGCAAGGAGACAAGTCGCTTCTTTGTACGTCTGTAATCGCTAGTTTCTGTGCAAAGCAACGCCATGAAACACCCATCCGGGAGCGACCGGGACGGAAAACAATCTGGTGACAAAAGTTCTTAAAATAAGATAACTGCTCCGATGTTGTTTTTGAAGCCTCATTGAGATGATGAATCAGTTCGTCAGCTACGCAGATGAACCTTGCTCAAAATTGGCAGGCGGACTGTGCCCTTGCGCATTAATAACAATAATTATAATCCTTGCATTTGATACAGCGCTTTTCACGTCGGGAGGACATCCCAAAGCGCTTCGCAGAACACACTGTAAAGTGAATTGACTGTATATTTGTGGGCGAACGCGGCAGCCAATTGCGCACAGCAATGTCCCACAAACAGTCGTGGATTGAAAATGACCAATTTATTATTGTTTTTGGTTTTGGAGGATTATTATTAGGCTCTGTGTGGGGTAAGGAAACTTGCCCGAGGTTTCGCTTTGGTCAACTGGCTGCCGCGTTTCGCCCACCAAGTGCACAGTCACTCCGCTTCAGGGTGTGTTCTGTGAAGCGCTCCGATGGCTGTCTCAACGACGTGATAAGGCGCTGTATCAAATTATTACTATGAGTCGGTGCTCTGTGCGACAGCCATTAAATTATTTGGGGGCAAGTACAGCATCGTATCCAGAGACTGCCTCCCCCGCAAAACCACCAAAGCGTATACAGAACGACACCAACAACAACAACAACAAATGACATTTACACGGCTTTTCACGTCGGGAGGACGTCCCAGGCCGCTGGACAGTCAGGGATGTGGTCCCGAGCCGGGGGTTTCTTTATTCCTTGGTGACCTGCCTCTAATTAGTCCAGTAATTAGTTCTGTGTATCTGTTTGAAGACATTCCCTGAAGCGCAGTCAGTCCCAGCGGCTTCACTGAGCCGCCTAACGAGGGAATTAACCCGACTGAAAATCCCAAAGCCCGTTTGCCAATTGCGACGCTTATCTGCTTGACCTCCAAACGTCATGAAGTGACACTGAATGAAAAGGTTACGTGCGAGGAAAGGTAGTCCACTCGCTTTTGAAGCGAAGCATTCCGCTCTCCGGGAAAGCTTAGCAAATCACCCCTGCGTCGAGAATTCCTGCTCCGTTAAGGGACTTTGCGGACACAAACTGCACAGCGTCGCCTTGTTTGTTTTTTTCGCAGAACAACCGATAAATCTCCATCTGTAGTTCCTTTCTCCCCAGGAGACGAGCACAAATGATGAAAGAAACCGGAATAAATGTTCCAATCCTCTGTTTCTGCCCCACCGCCAATCATAGAATCATAGAATCATACCGCACAGAAGGAGGCCATTCATTCAGAAGAGCGATCCGGATCAACCCCACTCCCCCCGCGCTCTCCCCGTAGCCCTGCAAACCTGTCCTCCCCAAA